TTTTTTTTTTTTTTTTTCATGTTGCCTGTCCAACATGCAAAGTCATTTTCATTTTAAGATTAAAATTACTTTTATGCATCAGAAAATTTTCAAATTTCACATGCGAAATCTTTATAATGTCCAGATAGTTATCAAATGTTTCTTAAGAAAAAGCTTTATATTTTATCTATTATTTTCAGTAACAAATCTCTGCATGGGTTTCGTAGATTTGACTGATCTATTAACCACCATTAAAAATTAGGAAATAAATATAACCTATGCCTCTTTCATTCAGCTGTGGGAGCATTATAATGTGGTGATCAATCCCACTATTTGTTGGTAAAAGAGTAACGCAAGAGTTGGCAGTGGGTGGTGATGACTAGCTGCCTTCCCTCTAGTCTTTCACTGCACAAAATTCAAAAGAAACCAAATCTAGTAGTGCTTCGAAAATGTTTTGAATTCTTTCCTGTCAGTTTGAAACTTGTTATATTTTATTGATAATATCCCTTACATCTCTAATAGCATTTATAGCTGCTCTTATAATATTATTTACAAATCCTATAATTATTAACTGTGAATATTATTTCTTGTTAAAGGCAATACCAGCAGGAAAAGCAAAGGTTCCAGTTACAGGTGGACCAATACCTCCAGAAGGAATAGAGGTTGCTTTGGACCCCAGCGAGCTTGAGTTGGATACTGCAGCTATGGCTGCCCGATATGAACAGACTGTAAGGGAGCAGCAGTCCCAACTGGAAAAGGAAGACCTTAGTGATATGGTTGCAGAACATGCAGCAAGACAAAAGGTATGTGCTGGCTTCCCTACAAATCTGTACCATTTTCTTCTGCCAAAACTTTTGTATTACTGTAGCAAAACATTTTTGTAATCTGTATTATGAATGTTGCTTAATTTAAAAAAAAAAAAGTGTACTGCTGTCAGTCTTTCCTTTTCATTGTTATTCTTAATTTTTGTAATGTTAAATCTTCTGATGGTTGAGTAAACTCTTCACTCTCTCTCTCTCTTTCTCCAGAATAAACGTAAGAAGCAGCAACAAGATAGTGGAAAAACTGCCAAGAAGTACAAGGAATTCAAGTTTTGAGGCCCATTTTGCTGACTTGTATAGGATACATTTTTATCAATCACAGCTCATGAGTCCATCAGTTCTCTTTAGGTAGACATCAAGAAGCCAATTCCATTGTAGATTTTAATGGCTTGTAAAGATTAACTTGAACTAGAAAGTAATTTTTACTTTCTTTAAATCTCAGAATTGGTTTTCAGGAGTGGGAAAATGCACATCAATATTTAGCCTTTGTAACTTATCGAAAATGTTCAGCGTATTTCCACCTTGTATTGAAATGATAGTTTCACCTTTTGTCATTGATTTTTTTGTCTTTGTTAAAAACAACAAAATAAACGTTTTAAAAATAGCTGCTACTTGTGTATTTCCTCCTTTAGATGTCAGTGTAAAAAGAAAAAAGTTTGGCTATGCTTATGACTATAAATAAAGAAAAATTTGGAACAAAATGATTTCCACTCACTTCTTTAATAACATAAAACAGTAAATCTAATCTTAGTCAATGTCTGAAGGTAATTAACCCTCTTGCTACAGGCAGACCAAAGCGTGCCTGTCACTGCCTTTTACTTAAAATTTAATTAAATTACTTTTTTTCTTAATTTTAAAAGGAAATATTTAACTAAGTCTGCAATCTTCTCTTTTATGTATATATATATTGTGAAATGTATTTGCTACAACTTGCCCATTTATCACTCTTCTCTGATGTTCTAAGTTTATCTTAAGTTACTTATTATAGCCTTAATCTTCTTTGTTTACAGAGACATAAATTAGAAAATTAAACAGACTTGCCAAGTCTACCTGTTACATCATCTATAACAAATAGAAAGACAAAGTTTTAACTTATGAAATGACTTGTAAGCCACGTTGTTCTTAATAGAGATTTTTATTTTATTTTCCTACAGATTGACAGAGTGTTGCTGAGTTCAGAATGAATAACTTGGGGGATTATTTTAAGACACTTATGCCATAATTATAAAGCCAATGAAATGAGTTATAGAACATTTTTTGCTTCGTGCATGTTATTATTCTGTGCTTTGATGTGAATTCATCAAATAAACATTATTTAATGTACTAGTACCAACATTACAAAAAAAAAAATAGGCTTAAATTTTATTGGTGGGCCAACAGCCAAAAACCAAGGAACCAAATATAAGTACTAAATCTCTTGTTCTTTATGTATATTTTTTCTTCTTTGTTATAAAAGTAACTAAAATGTAAAAAAAAACACGTTCATTTACATTGGGTAAGATAATGAAAATAAAATTGTCCACAGGGTATGCTTTCGCATTACATCATTCAGTATGGTACCTTGAACTATGTGTTTGCTGAGTAATTTACAGATTTTATTGTGGAATTATTAGTTAAGAGTCCAAATGGCAATAAAACAAAATTAAACAGAAACAGATGTAGACTATTTAGGATAGCAGTTGTAGTTTTCTGTTGTAATCTGCATTCCAAAAAGAAAAAAAAAGGTAATTCAGATTTATTTTGTAGTTTTTGGTGAGGAGGCATAATGTGTGAAATGTTTGTCATGGAAAAATTCATCTAACTACACTTACTGTTACGTTTCTATAAACAACGTATGTACAAACTGTTTACCTAATAAAAAGAAACAAAAATGATTAACAAGTGGGATAACAGCTTTAATTTGATTTAATTCCACAGCTAATTACTCACAACCATTACAAAACACACTAAACCCAATACTATTTCAGTATATTTATAAATTCTAATTCATTGTATTTAGCTAAGAAGAAAAGTTGAAAAAAAATATATACAAGAAATCTAGTTGAGTTTAAAAGATTTGTACCCAGCGGTATGTCTGCGGACTTACAACACTAGAATCCGGGTTTCAATACCCATGGTGGGCAGAGCACAGATAGCCCATGGTGTAGCTTTGTGCCTAATTACAAACAAACAAAATTTGTACGATCTCTCAGCAGGTTAATGAATATTATAAATACACGAAAGAAATATTTGTAGAATTGTACAATAACTATGTGGTTTACTGAATTAAGAATTTTATATTTTCTGACAATTGTTTTCCTTGTCACCAAAACAAAAAAAAATAAGGTGGCTGGTTTGAAAACAGTGATATAAATATTCACTATTATTTATATCAATTATAAATATGTTAATTCTTATAATTTAATTTACTTTGTAAAATTAATTATAAAATAAAATCACATGTCATATTCAGTAACAGATTATCACAAAATGTTTGTATAGAACCAGTTTTACACAAAGTTTTATACATTTTGACTGATACTTTATTTGTTACTGCATATCAATATTTAAATACAAAATATTTTATTACAAAAATAGATTCACCTTTTCACTTGTCATTAACTGTTAAAGAAAAGCATAAAACTAAATCTTTCAGCAGTAAGATGTGACATTATATGTTAACATTTCTTGTACTTTACTACTTTTTACTATTTAATACATTTCATCACATTAAAATCAGGTCCTATATATACAACCTAGATTAATTTTGACATTTGTGTTGAAGAAGCAAATTACTATAGATCAAGAACATCCAGAGCAAAGCCCAACTCATTTAAAACTTCCTTTACATTCTGATATACAGATGGATCCTCTATGGTGGTTGGAATCTGAAAGATTATTAGATGTGTATAAACATAATTCATCTATTACAACATCTTTCTATAAATCTTCAGTTCTAATAAATATTAAAATAGTATTCTTATTTTTAATTAATGTGAAGTTTTTTTCTTGAACACCCAGCTGAATAGTGCATTCTTCACATGCAAGTTTTTTTTCAATTTAGTTACACCTTACCTATCAAAATATACAAATATTCACACAGTGATATTTTAGGTTTTTTGAGTTTTCCTTCTAATAATTTCTAAAACTGTTACTATTCTTCAAAATCGCTAAAAGATATTAACACGTGTTATCCCTCTTGCTATGGGCTCGGTTCATTCAACTGAGTTCGTAACCTTAAGTAACCATCAGAGTGTCCATACTATAACTTTTAATGTGTCTTGTGTATCTTTATGAAATTTGTCAAGCTTTCAGTAAATATTACAATTATTTTGCACACGTAAAATCAGATTTTTTAATTAAGCATTTTTACTAAAAATTTATAAGTGAATAGTAAGGGCTGGCATGACTAGATGGTTAGGATGCTTGACTTGCAATCTGCAGGTCCCTCTAGTCTTTCACTGCTAAAGTATGGACGGCTAACTCAAATAACCCTCGTGTAGCTTTGCGCGAACTTCCAAACAAAACAAACCAGTGAATATATGGTATCAGAGTGTTGACTGCTTTGAGCACAAAGTGATTTTCCTTTTGAAATTAAAAATCCTTATATTCATCTGAAAATTGTCAAATATCAAACTTCCTCAATAAATATCAAACGGTTTTTTTCAGCAAAAATTTATCTGTTATTTTCTCTGCTGTAACTATATGCATTCAGTCGATTTAACTGACTTTTTTAACACCATGAAAAATACTAAATAAATCTAAAAAAATCCTTTTTTCTTTCTAGAATGACTGCAAATGTTTATTGGATGCTACAATTATATATCCTAAATAGCTTGAAGCTTGTAACACTTCTACATCTGTTTATACTTTATTTCATTGCCTTTTGACCTGTGTCTAACTATGAATCCTGCCACTGAAGCTGTAAATCATTCAGTAAATGTGTAACTCATGTTACCATATTGAATTATGTAATACAAAAGCTGCTTGCTAGCATACTTTGTGAAGAATTTTTGTTTCTATTTTTAATTTTCATTATTTTACCTAATCTGAATAAAGAATAGGCAAACAACAAGAAATATATCATTTACCTGATGGTTACCATTGAAGTTGAGACCTACTTTTTTATACTAAGGCTCCTAATTTTACTAAATAACTTTTATTTATTTGAATAATGCACCTAAGAACACAAACTAACATGCACAAAGCAAACAATGTCCTGAAACTATCATAATTTTTCTGGCTTTCTAACTTTAGCATAAGAACCTTTAAATATTACTTTAAGCTTATCAATCTGTAGACTGCAACACAAAATTTCAACTCAAAACAAAATAGACGATTAAAACCATCGGAGAGAACTACTGGCAATTTGTGAAAGAGGGGATGTGACAGGTAGTCTGATTTTCTAGCTTATGACTCTGTAAACAAATAAGATTGAAAGCTATAAAAATTATGCTTTGCCTTAGTAATATCTATGCTCTAATCAATAATTTAGATTAAATTTTGTACCACTCAGAGGGTTGGTAAATAAATTAGAGAAGACGGAAGACTAAGAAAACAAATGTCACAATTTTCATACTTTGCGAGATTGAGGATTTTTAGAAATATTTCATTATAAAATTAAGAATTGAAAACTTGTATGATATTAAAATTGGATTCATTAACCATGTTTTGATGCCAAGTTTATTCTTATACAATGATAATAAAGTAGTTTTAAGTAAATTTTGAATGTAACTAAAAGATCATGACATGTAGCGAGAGGGTTAAGAGGTTAGGAAAGACAATACTATATCCACTCTAATCTTGTATTTGCAGATACAGTGATAAAAACTGTTAATAGTTTTGTGTTAAAAAATACTATACAATTACAAAAACCTTAATGGATTAAAGTAATAGTAAAGTTTTAAATTAAAAATTAAGTAAACGTATAGTGTAAGGCAATGCAAATATGTAACTAGATAAACTGAATTCATAAAATGATGAGCATAATAATTAATTTTTGCAGTTATATGTGGCTTTACTCCAGCATTTTCAATGTATATACAAAATTCTTTACACTATGGAGATCATAGTTGTATCTTGAACACTATACAGTTCTCTTCTTTTGTCAAAAGTCCACTTAGGCCAATTCAATTGCTTTAGAATTCAGTTAACAAGCCGAACTATTTTTCTCTATTTTTATCGCAATAGTATCCGTGTATAACTCATGCTGTTGCGTGAGTTACTGCAGTTGTATCCTTAACTTCCAATAATTGTCTCCCTTTTGTCAAAGTCCACACAGGTGGGTTCAATTAGTTTAGAACACCTTTTGATGAGACAAATTATTTCTTTCAAACTGTTAATCTCACTCTAACATATAAACCATTAGGCTATTCACACCCACGACTGTTAACTTTACGTTTTTTGAGCTTTTTTTCTGACTGAACTTCTCTTTCACGTGATTTTACTTTTACTCTACTTTCCACTCATCTGGTCACAGATATTTATATGTCTATCACTTAGGCCTTCTAGAAATCTCCATAGCCTCAACATCAATGGATTGCATACAACGTTTGATATCCTCGACATCAAGGAATTACAAACACAAAATATATTAATTAATAATACTACCTACACTAAACAGTCTATTATGTCTGATATATTCAATGGAATTTTTAATTATATATTTCATTTTCAGTGATATATATTTGTCCAAGTCTGAGAAGCAACCAATTTTATGACATTTTCAACTATTACTTTGGATATTTTATTAGTTACTTAAGCTGAACTTTAAAACCTGTTCAATTGTGTTTTAAAAATTTTATTTATAGTAAAATTTTCCATTATTAGTAATTTGACAAATCTTAAACCTCCAGATTCTTTATATAACATGAGCTTTGTATTTTAAACACTGTAAGAATGTATGATAGATGTATATAACACAGTGAATACAATTCTCAATGTACAATCATCTATACAACTAATAATGACATTACTTGTTATAATCTTCACTATTACTGTAAAACATTTTGAAAATACCCTGATTCCTTTGTTCTTGGCCATGTCTGAAATACTTTTCCGAGCAATTTTTCCAGAACGAGTTTTGGGAAGAACTTTTATGGGAGCAGCAAGTCTAAATGCTGCAACTGGACCAACAAGTTGTCGGACTAATGCAATCAGTTCTTTAGTAATGTCAGTAGAAGTCTTCTTTGTTCCTAAAAATATTACATTGGAAATATATTTTCAAGTTTCAAGTAATCACTTTAAAACCACTAGTGTCACGCCACCTCTCGAACCTTTGGGAATAGTTGGGAGATTACTAGATATAGGGTAGTCTGGTATATATATAAGAGGGTGACAACGTAACGGAACAATATGTGTGTAGGTAATG